GCATTCCTGTCTAAGTGCCACAGTGATCCTACAACTATTTCAAACCTTTTCCCAGACCATTCCCTCCAGATCCTTAATTGCTGTCGTGGCTTTTTGTATGAACCCTGTGCTTTTGTTGTACAGATTTGCCTAAAACTAAGGACTACTTTAAACTGCAGAGTTAAGAAAGCGTTTTATACCTTCTTTATTATTAAGCACATTCAGCCACCACCACCATCACTTTAATGAAGAATTTCTCTCCTGCTGCTTCTTACTTGAATAGGGCATAATCTCTAATCTGTGGTACTGAACCACAGCATCCTGCTTTCTGCCACAGAGAAAATAAAATGTCTTCTTCAGGGAAGCAAAAAAGCAGTTCATATACCCCAGCAATAAACAGATTGTGTTTTTTAAGTATCCTGATTCCAGCTGAGTATTTGTTTACATTTATAGGTGTGCAGTCAGGACGCTAATAGTTCCCAGTGGGCTTTCAGATAGTCTTCTGAGAGACTAATCTTTTCGTGCAACCAAAATAATGAGGAAACTAAAATACAGCTTTATTACGAAAGTTGATTTTGCACATGATAGCTTCCAGAAACGCTACCCACACACTAGAGGCAACGCTGCAGATTCTTCTAATGATATATTTCATGTCTTTTACCACCCGTGCAGAGTGTCCACAACCAAGAAAGGGAAAGTGAGACTCCAGCCTGGCTCAGGCACCGCTAGAGCAGCCGGAGCTGCGTTCCAGACACACAGGCTCATTCTTCCCCACTGACATGACCCCAGAGGCTGCAGAGATGCAGGATAAAACAAAAAAAGCTTTAATTGGGCTTCCGGCATGACTGATCTTCATTATTGCCAGTAACCCTATTACTCCCATACCATTCCAAGACTGCCACCTAAGGAGCTTTTTTCTGCTTCTGAGCTTCTTACACAGCAATTCAAGCACACAGGCACACAGACACTCTGGTGCTACCCCTGTAACAGTCCAGCTCTGCTACCTACGCAGAATTTGCAAAGAGTCACAGGGCTGCCATTTTGAGTGTCCTGGATGGTCTTACCAAATAAAGAAGTAAAACAGCCTTACAACTGAACATGGTATTTGAAGTTGTAAGACATACTTGCCCCAGCTACAGCTACCCACTTTTTCTATTTTAACCACAGTTAGCTTTGTTAAGCTGTCACATTACTCCATTTTCTTACCAAAAAGAGTTCACATCAGTTGCCTCGCGGCAAAACCAACAGCATCCTGGGCTGGATTAGGCAGAGCATTGCTGGAAGGTCAAGGGAGGTGATCCTTCCCCTCTACTCAGCACTGGTGAGGCCACACCTGGAGCATTGTGTCCTCTGCTGGGCTCCCCAGTACAAAAGAGATACGGACTTACTGGAGTGAGTCCAGCACAGGGCCACAAAGATGGTTGCGGGACTGGAGCATCTCTCATCATACCTGATGGGAAGGAATGAAGAGGAGGGAGCCAGACTCTTCTCAGTAGCATCCACTGGCAATTAAAAACCATGAAATTTCTTCTCAACACAAGAAAACACTATTTTACTGTAAGGGTGGTCAAACAGTCGATTGGGTTGTCCAGAGTTGTTGTGCCCCCATGGTCCTGGGCAAACCTGGGGGGTTGGACCAGATGATCTCAAAGGGTCCCTTCCAACCTAAATGATTCTGTTTATTATGGATGTTGAATGTGTAGGTTATCTCCACCCTAAAGAATAATTAGAGGGCAAGAAATTTGAATGATGCCTGAATCTAACATACGATGTCATAAATGTAACTTAGTTATTTACTCCAAGTTAAATCAGGAAATCCAGACATGATGCTATCAGACGAGGGGAAAAAATGGGCAGAACAAACTGTAGCTATATTGTAAGCATCTGGACGTTGCAGATTTAACAAGCTACGCTTTACTGAAGAAACAGATAACAATTTCTCTCTTGATCATCATACTGTGAACTGTCATGAATTACACTGTAAGAATTCCATAAAATGAGTACATCTCACTGATAAACCAGAAAAGTAGTGTGCTGCATGTATATGCATGGAAAAACTGCTCCTGCCTAGCACCTCCATACAAGCCTGTATCTTCACTAGCCACTTTTCCCCAACCAAGGTTTCCCCCTGGTGTCAGCGACAGTAACAGTATTGCGGTTTTATCCAAAGCAGTGCAATTCTGTGTGCTGAAGACAAGGTGGTAGTTAGGGGCTGGCCGCAGCGAACTTTTGTTGACAGGAGAACTGCAGTTGCTGAGCTAACATGTAACACTTCGGATGAACTCTTTGGACGTGTGCCTTTGCTCCTCCACTTGTTAACTAGTATAGATACCCATCTTTTTTGCCATGTCTTGGTCAAAAGTCACAGGCAGTTCAGCGTGAATGAATGGCCGGGGGATGGCAGCAGGTTGGCAGGGATGCATAGGCACAGCATCGCTTCATCGGGAAAGGAGCGTGATTTATTTCAGGATGCCCCATGGTAAGCGCTGGCTCCCAGCGCGTTCCTACCCCGCAGCCCGGGCCTGGTCGTGGCAGGAGCCCCTCGGCCTCTCCCTGACCCAACGGCCCCGGCCTCGCAGCTCGCCCCGACAGGGCCGCAGCCTGCCCCCGCCCGCTGCACCCCTCCGGCACCCCTCTCCTCCCGGCCAGAAGCCGCCCCCCTCGGGAGCGGGGCTGTCCCCGC